TCACTCACACTACCATTTACTCACTCACACTATCACTGACTCACTCACACTACCACTGACTCACTCACACTACAACTGACTCACTCACACTACCATTTACTCACTCACACTACCACTGACTCACTCACACTGCCACTGACTCACTCACACTACCACTGACTCACTCACACTACCACTGACTCACTCACACATACACTGACTTACTCACACTATCACAGACTCACTCACACTGCCACTGACTCACTCACACTACCACTGACTCACTCACACTACCACTGACTCACTCACACTACCACTGACTCACTCACACTACCACCGACTCACTCACACTACCCCTGACTCACACTACCACTGACTCACTCACACATCATACACTCACTCACACTACCACTGACTCACTCACACTACCACCGACTCACTCACACTACCACTGACTCACTCACACTACCACTGACTCACTCACACATCATACACTCACTCACACTACCACTGACTCACTCACACTACCACCGACTCACTCACACTACCACTGATTCACTCACACTACCACCGACTCACTCGCACTACCACTGACTCACTCACACTACCACTGACTCACTCACACTGCCACTGACTCACTCACACTTCCACTGACTCACACTACCACCGACTCACTCACACATCATACACTCACTCACACTACCACCGACTCACTCACACTACCACTGACTCACACTACCACTGACTCACTCACACATCATACACTCACTCACACTACCACCGACTCACTCACACTACCACTGACTCACACTACCACTGACTCACTCACACATCATACACTCACTCACACTACCACTGACTCACTCACACTATCACTGACTCACTCACACTACCACTGACTCACTCACACTATCACTGACTCACTCACACTACCACTGATTCACTCACACTACCACTGACTCACTCACACATCATACACTCACTCACACTGCCACTGACTCACACTACCACTGACTCACACTACCACTGACTCACTATCACTACCACTGACTCACTCACACTACCACTGACTCACACTACCATTGACTCACACTACCACTGACTCACTCACACTACCACTGACTCACTCACACTACCACTGACTCACTCACACTACCACTGACTCACTCACACTGCCACTGACTCACTCACACTACCACTGACTCACTCACACTACCACTGACTCACTCACACTGCCACTGACTCACTCACTACTTTCCTCCACTGACTCACTCACACTACCACTGACTCACTCACACTCACTGACTCCTCACACTGCCACTGACTCACTCACACTACCACTGACTCACTCACACTACCACTGACTCACTCACACTACCACTGACTCACTCACACTACCACTGACTCACTCACACTACCACTGACTCACTCACACTACCACTGACTCACTCACACTACCACTGACTCACTCACACTACCACTGACTCACACTACCACTGACTCACTCACACTACCACTGACTCACACTACCACTGACTCACTCACACATCATACACTCACTCACACTACCACTGACTCACTCACACTACCACTGACTCACACTACCACTGACTCACTCACACATCATACACTCACTCACACTACCACTGACTCACTCACACTACCACCGACTCACTCACACTACCACTGACTCACACTACCACTGACTCACTCACACATCATACACTCACTCACACTACCACTGACTCACTCACACTATCACTGATTCACTCACACTACCACTGACTCACTCACACTATCACTGACTCACTCACACTACCACTGACTCACTCACACTACCACTGACTCACTCACACATCATACACTCACTCACACTGCCACTGACTCACACTACCACTGACTCACTCACACTACCACTGACTCACTCACACATCATACACTCACTCACACTGCCACTGACTCACACTACCACTGACTCACTCACACTACCACTGACTCACACTACCACTGACTCACTCACACTACCACTGACTCACACTACCACTGACTCACTCACACTACCACTCACTCACTCACTCACACTGCCATTGACTCACTCACACTGCCACTGACTCACTCACACTACCACTGACTCACTCACACTACCACTGACTCACTCACACATACACTGACTTACTCACACTATCACAGACTCACTCACACTGCCACTGACTCACTCACACCACCACTGACTCACTCACACTACCACTGACTCACTCACACTACCACTGACTCACTCACACATCATACACTCACTCACACTGCCACTGACTCACACTACCACTGACTCACTCACACTACCACTGACTCACACTACCACTGACTCACACTACCACTGACTCACTCACACTACCACTGACTCACTCACACTACCACTGACTCACTCACACTTCCATTGACTCACACTACCACTGACTCACTCACACTACCACTGACTCACTCACACTACCACTGACTCACACTACCACTGACTCACTCACACTACCACTGACTCACACTACCACTGACTCACTCACACTGCCACTGACTCACACTACCACTGACTCACTCACACTACCACTGACTCACTCACACTACCACTGACTCACTCACACTTCCATTGACTCACACTACCACTGACTCACTCACACTACCACTGACTCACTCACACTACCACTGACTCACACTACCACTGACTCACTCACACTACCACTGACTCACACTACCACTGACTCACTCACACTACCACTGACTCACACTACCACTGACTCACTCACACTGCCACTGACTCACACTACCACTGACTCACTCACACATCATACACTCACTCACACTACCACTGACTCACTCACACTGCCACTGACTCACACTACCACTGACCCACACTACCACTGACTCACTCACACTACCATTGACTCACACTACCACTGACTCACACTACCACTGACTCACTCACACTACCATTGACTCACACTACCACTGACTCACACTACCACTGACTCACTCACACTACCACTGACTCACACTACCACTGACTCACTCACACTACCACTGACTCACTCACACATACACTGACTTACTCACACTTCCATTGACTCACACTACCACTGACTCACTCACACTACCACTGACTCACTCACACTATCACTGACTCACACTACCACTGACTCACTCACACTACCACTGACTCACACTACCACTGACTCACTCACACTGCCACTGACTCACTCACACTACCACTGACTCACTCACACTACCACTGACTCACACATACACTGACTTACTCACACTATCACAGACTCACTCACACTACCACTGACTCACTCACACTACCACTGACTCACTCACACTTCCATTGACTCACACTACCACTGACTCACTCAAACTACCACTGACTCACTCACACTACCACTGACTCACACTACCACTGACTCACTCACACATCATACACTCACTCACACTACCACTGACTCACTCACACTGCCACTGACTCACTCACACTACCACTGACTCACTCACACTACCACTGACTCACTCACACTTCCATTGACTCACACTACCACTGACTCACTCAAACTACCACTGACTCACTCACACTACCACTGACTCACACTACCACTGACTCACTCACACATCATACACTCACTCACACTACCACTGACTCACTCACACTGCCACTGACTCACTCACACTACCACTGACTCACTCACACTACCACTGACTCACTCACACTTCCATTGACTCACACTACCACTGACTCACTCACTCATCATACACTGGGAGTGTCATGCTGCCAGCTATGGCTGCAAGTTTGGTCGTACGTGCGATGTTTATCGTTTATTGTTAAATTTGAACTACATTTCCCACGATTACCGTTGTTACATTGTTTTTATAGCTTCATGTTCTTAGGTTTTTTTCGGTAAAGTCACGTAGGTAAAAAAAGACATTAAAAAGTAAAATAAAATAAAAATCACGACGTTTCGGAGGCAACACAAGCTTCCGTCTTCAGGTGGAAGCTTGTGTTGCCTCCGAAACGTCGTGATTTTTACTTTTTAATGTTTTTTTTTACCTACGTGACTTTACCGAAAAAAACCTAAGAATATGAATCATTGCAGTCACGAAAGCTTCAAATCTAGAATTTATAGCTTCATTTTAGTGATTCGAAAACATCTGGTTCGTCTAAATTGTCTCATTTTTGTTATTGTTGACTTGCACCACTTTGGGATTTTTGTACGAGTTTTAGAAAAAAAATGTTTGCTGGTTTATTCCAGGATGTTTCTGTTCAGCGTCGTCGCTTGAAGATGTTTCTGTGTTCACGTTTAGTTTATTGCGTTTGCACCCGAATCAAGAGCCGCATGGCTCACAGGGCGATGCCTAATTCATAAAACTTGAACTTGAAACTCCCCCCCCCTCCCTCTCCCCCCTCCCTCCCCCCCTCTCCCCCCACTCTCCCCCCACTCTCTCCCCCCACTCTCTCCCCCTTTTCCCACTCTCCCCACCCCCCTCCCCCTCCCCCCATTATCCCCCTCCCCCCCCTCCCCCCTCTCTCCCCCCATTCCCCCCCCTCTCTCCTCCTCCCTCTCTTTCTCACCACTCTCCCCACCCCCCCTCCCCCCTCTCTCTCCCCTCTCTCCCCTCGCTCTCTCCCCCCTCCCTCACTCCCCCCACCCCCTCTCCCCCACCCCCCTTCTCTCCCCTCCCACTCCCCCCACCCCCCCTCCCCCCTCTCTCTCTCTTCTCTCTCCCCACTCTCCCCCCCTCTCCCCCCACTCCCCCAACCCCCCCCACTCCCCCCACCCCCCCTCCCCCCTCTCCCCCCACCCCCCCACCCCCCCTCCCCCCTCTCTTTCCCCCCACTCTTCCCACTCCCCCCACTCTCTCCCCTATTCCCCCCCCACTCCCCCCACCCCCCTCTCCCCCTCTCTCTCCCTCCCCCCTCTCTCCCCCCACTCTCCCCACTCTCCCCCCACTCCCCCCCACCACCACCACCACTCTGTGTGTAGATGTTCCACTTCTGGATCAACACTTTCTTCATCCAGGAGGGGCTCCCCTCCAGCGGCGGCGTGGGGGGCGGCTACATCGGTGCCCCCCCCGCTGGCCTCAACGGAGCCCCCCCCGAAGTCGGAGCCGGGGGAGCCGGGGGGGGCACCGCGGCCGCCTCCGCCGTGGGGGGGGCAGCGGGGCCCCCCCCCGGGATGTCCGGGGGGGGCGTGGGGGGCGCTCCGGCTTGCGTGCAGCTGGAGGTCGGTCCAGGGGGAGTGACGCGTTTCCTGACGCTCACCCTCAACAAGGCCGAGCTGGACAAGGCCAACAAGGACAAGGCCAACAAGTGCTTCTCTCCCAACTTCAAGGTGAGCGGGGCGAGGGAGGGGGTCACGATGGCCGTGTTGAGGTTCAAGATGGCTGTGTTGAGGTTCATGATGGCCGTGTTGAGGTTCAAGATGGCTGTGTTGAGGTTCACGATGGCCGTGTTCAGTGGGGTGAGGTTCACGATGGCCGTGTTGAGGTTCAAGATGGCCGTGTTGAGGTTCATGATGGCCGTGTTGAGGTTCATGATGGCCGTGTTGAGGTTCACGATGGCCGTGTTGAGGTTCAAGATGGCCGTGTTCAGTGGGGTGAGGGTCACGATGGCCGTGTTGAGGTTCAAGATGGCCGTGTTGAGGTTCATGATGGCCGTGTTGAGGTTCACGATGGCCGTGTTGAGGTTCATGATGGCCGTGTTCAGTGGGGTGAGGTTCACGATGGCCGTGTTGAGGTTCACGATGGCCGTGTTGAGGTTCATGATGGCCGTGTTCAGTGGGGTGAGGGTCACGATGGCCGTGTTGAAGTTCAAGATGGCCGTGTTGAGGTTCAAGATGGCCGTGTTGAGGTTCATGATGGCCGTGTTCAGTGGGGTGAGGTTCACGATGGCCGTGTTGAGGTTCACGATGGCCGTGTTGAGGTTCATGATGGCCGTGTTCAGTGGGGTGAGGGTCACGATGGCCGTGTTGAGGTTCAAGATGGCCGTGTTGAGGTTCATGATGGCCGTGTTCAGTGGGGTGAGGGTCACGATGGCCGTGTTGAGGTTCACGATGGCCGTGTTGAGGTTCATGATGGCCGTGTTCAGTGGGGTGAGGGTCACGATGGCCGTGTTGAGGTTCAAGATGGCCGTGTTGAGGTTCATGATGGCCGTGTTCAGTGGGGTGAGGGTCACGATGGCCGTGTTGAGGTTCAAGATGGCCGTGTTGAGGTTCATGATGGCCGTGTTCAGTGGGGTGAGGGTCACGATGGCCGTGTTGAGGTTCACGATGGCCGTGTTGAGGTTCACGATGGCCGTGTTCAGTGGGGTGAGGGTCACGATGGCCGTGTTGAGGTTCAAGATGGCCGTGTTGAGGTTCAAGATGGCCGTGTTGAGGTTCATGATGGCCGTGTTCAGTGGGGTGAGGTTCACGATGGCCGTGTTGAGGTTCAAGATGGCCGTGTTGAGGTTCATGATGGCCGTGTTCAGTGGGGTGAGGGTCACGATGGCCGTGTTGAGGTTCACGATGGCCGTGTTGAGGTTCATGATGGCCGTGTTCAGTGGGGTGAGGGTCACGATGGCCGTGTTGAGGTTCAAGATGGCCGTGTTGAGGTTCATGATGGCCGTGTTCAGTGGGGTGAGGGTCACGATGGCCGTGTTGAGGTTCACGATGGCCGTGTTGAGGTTCACGATGGCCGTGTTCAGTGGGGTGAGGGTCACGATGGCCGTGTTGAGGTTCAAGATGGCCGTGTTGAGGTTCAAGATGGCCGTGTTGAGGTTCATGATGGCCGTGTTCAGTGGGGTGAGGTTCACGATGGCCGTGTTGAGGTTCAAGATGGCCGTGTTGAGGTTCATGATGGCCGTGTTCAGTGGGGTGAGGGTCACGATGGCCGTGTTGAGGTTCACGATGGCCGTGTTGAGGTTCATGATGGCCGTGTTCAGTGGGGTGAGGGTCACGATGGCCGTGTTGAGGTTCAAGATGGCCGTGTTGAGGTTCATGATGGCCGTGTTCAGTGGGGTGAGGGTCACGATGGCCGTGTTGAGGTTCACGATGGCCGTGTTGAGGTTCACGATGGCCGTGTTCAGTGGGGTGAGGGTCACGATGGCCGTGTTGAGGTTCAAGATGGCCGTGTTGAGGTTCACGATGGCCGTGTTCAGTGGGGTGAGGCTCACAATGGCTGTCGGTCGCCCAAGGCTGGATTTAAACTCCATCTCCTTCTACCTCATCCCCCCCCCCCGTGTCTACCCCCCTGTATCTACCCCTCCCCATGTCTCACCCCCCCCCGTGTCTCACCCCCCCCGTGTCTCACCCCCCCCGTGTCTCCCCCCCCGTGTCTCCCCCCCCCCCGTGTCTACCCCCCCCATGTCTCTCACCCCCGCCTGTGTCTACCCCCCCCATGTCTCTCCCCCCCCCCGTGTCTCCCCCCCCTCCGTGTCTCCCCCCCCCGTGTCTCCCCCCCCGTGTCTCCCCCCCCCACCAGGTGAAGCTCTACTTCACAGCGGCGAGCGAGGAGCGAGTGGCCGATGCGGCCGCCGCCGACACGGCCGCCGCCGCCGCTGCAGCAGCAATGGCCTCCTCCTCCTCCTCTTCGTGGTCGTCCACCTCGTCGCTGGCCAACAGCCCGGGCCCCACGCAGCCTCCTCCCCAGGGGGGCGAGAGGCCTCCCTCCTCCTCCTCCTCCTCCATCTGCGGAGCGGCCGATGGCGGCGGCGGCGCTGCGGGGACGATGGCGTGGATGGCGGGCGGCGGTGGCGGACACCACCACCACCACCATCATCAGCACCTCCACCTTCTTCACCACCACCAGCAACAGCAGCAGCAGCACGGTGGTGGAGCTGCGGTCGGGCCGGGCGGTCGACCCCCGGCCCCGATTCCCGGTGGTGGCGGTGACTGCTACGGCGTTGGCGGTGGTGGAGTTGGTGGCGGCGTTGGTGCGGGTCTCTGTCCGGCGGACCTGCCGGACGCAGACGCCGAAGACTTCCACTACTCGGACACGTCCGAGTCGGACCCCGAGATGGACACCATGGACCCCGAGCAGCAGCAGCAGCAGATCACCAAGGTGTGACGGCGGAGAGAGAGAGAGAGAGAGAGACACGGCACGCGGGGTGGGGCGGTGATGATGATGATGATGGAGGTGGAGACATGGGGAGGAGGAGTAGGAGATGGAGGAGGTGGAGACATGGGGAGGATGAGGAGGAGATGGAGGAGGAGATAATGGAGGAGATAATGGAGGAGGATGAGATGAGGAGGAGGTGGAGACACGGGGAGGATGAGGTAGGGAGAGAGATGGGGGAGATGGTGGTGATGTGATGCTTTGTCAGGGAGAGAGATGGGGGAGATGGGAGGAGCGAGAGGAGAGGGGGGGGATTGAGGTGACGAGAAACAGGGAGGGGAGGGATGAGGGATGAGTGAGTGATAGCGCAGTGAAAGAAGGGATGGTGGTTATGATGCGTTGGTAGGCAGAGAGATGGCGGAGATGGTGATGGTGTGATGCTTTGGCAGGGAAAGAGATGGGGGAGATGGTGATGATGTGACACTTTGGTAGGGAGATGGATAAGGGGAAATGGTGGTGACGTGATGCGCACGGGGAGAAGGAGAGCCTTGAACTTCAGCCGGGATGAACGAGATGACGATGAAGATGGGAACTGGTGACAGAGGAAGGAAAACAATCATCCCGTTCCCTCCCCCCCCCGCGACCTCCACCCTCCACCGGTGATGAGAATGTGACGGAGCCGCCAATCTCCTGAGCTCTCTCGGTTGTAGAGAGAGAGAGAGGGGGGGGAGGCAGTGGGCACCGATGATGAAAACGACGGTGGTCGGAGTGGCGGCGAAAACGGATGATGATGACGACAAGAAAAGAAGAAAAAAACCTCCCCTCTTCCGTCGGCAGAATAAATATAAAATATAACAAGAGGAGGAAGAGAGGGGAGGGTGGACACCGCGAGACAGCGGAGAAAAATAAAGAGGCTTTGTTTTAAAAAATATATATATATATAACGACGTGGAGGAGAGGAAAGTGGTGGAGGTGGTGGTGATGGTGGTGGTGGTGGTTGTGAAACCCACTTTTGGAGGATTCTTTTTGTATTGTACAAAAGCGTGCGGGGTGTTCGATGGTGAGAGATGGGAGAGAGCTTAAACGCAACTGCACGCAAGAATCTACGGGCGGTCTCATCCTCGCCGCTCCTCTCCCCGTTCCTTGCCCCTCTCTCCGCAGCCCTGCCGGGCTCGGTTTGATGAGAAGAGCGTACAGGAGGACGATGATGATGGAGGGGGGGGGGCGGTGGTGTGGGTGAAGCGTTCTCACTCGACGTGAATGTGACGGCGGTGGCGGTGGTCGTCTTTCTGGGTTTCTGTTTTACGAAGAAGGGAGGGAGGGATGGTGGAGGCGTTCATGTCTGCCGTTGATTTTAGAGGCGCACAGGCAGGTACATGCGCAGTTACAAACACACACAGACACTCACAGAGACACACACAGAGACACCCACAGAGACACCCACAGAGACACACACAGAGACACACACAGAGACACACACAGAGACACCCACAGAGACACGCACAGAGACACACACAGAGACACCCACAGAGACACTCACAGAGACACCCACAGAGACACCCACAGAGACACTCACAGAGACACCCACAGAGACACCCACAGAGACACCCACAGAGACACCCACAGAGACACACACAGAGACACACACAGATACACATACACACAGATACACAGATACACACAGATACAGGTACAGACACACACAGACAAAGACCAGATATAAACACACAGACGTAAAGAGACGCAGACACACACACGCGCAGAGATCGACACACACGCACAGGAAGTACAGAGACACCACAGATGACCGCCCCCCCCCGGATTAAACGAAACTCCACATTCTCGGCAGAAGCAGCAACAGCAGCAGCAGCAGCAGCGACAGCAGCAAAAATAAAAGTCCTCAAAGCATTACAGCCGCGATACGCACGCGGCTCCAAAGCGGTGACCCCCTCACCCACCCCCGACCCCCCACCCACCCCCTCCATCCCACGACCCCAAAGAGACGCTAACCAGAATCGGCAAATGGCGGTAGCGGCAGTCGGCACGTGCGTTGAACCTCAATGGCGCCGTACGTCAAATTCGTATTCTTAGGTTTTTTCGGTAAAGTGACGTGGGTAAAAAAAATTTAATTAATAAAAGTAAAATAAAAATAAAATAAAAATGACGACGTTTCAGAGGCGACACAAGCCTCCGTCTTCAGGTGGAACCGTCACGGCACGATCGCTGCATCGAGTAAAAGAGAAATTCCAAATAAAGCGTATGCGATGGCTACGTCGAATCTTAGTTGGGATCGTACGTCGAATTTCAATGGCGCCGTACGTCAAATGTCAATGGCGTCGTACGTTGAATCTCGATGGGACCGTACGTTGAATTTCAATGGCGTCGTACGTCGAATTTCAATGGCGCCGTACGTTGAACCTCAATTGGACCGCACGTTGAATTTCAATGGCGTCGTACGTTTAATGTCAATGGGAACGTCCGTCGAATCTCAATGGTGCCATACGTAGCCAGCGGCGCTAATCGAAGGCGGCGGCGGTGGAGGGAAGGTCGTCAAACTGCAAACACAAAAAGCGATTTCTAAAGGAAATGAGTTAGTAGTCGATGACGACGACGATTTGAACGTGCGTCACAGCTCCCTGCCCCCCCCCCCCCCCCCCCCCGGTGTCTCCCCGATATCGGAAGGAGAGAGAGAGGCGGGTCCCCAGACTGCGACCGCCGTCTTCAACGGCTCGCCAGAAGCCGCCGCGAGGGTCGATGACCACCGTAGCTTTTGGGCGACGGGATCGGCGGTCGGGCTCAGTGGTTTCAACTTCGTGTGGGAAGCACTTTGCGTTGCGCGTGGCGATCAGTGAGTTGCGACCTGAGCAAGCAGAAAAAAGAAATCCGTCAAAGTTTAACTGTGGAGAGGGGTGGGATGGTGGGTGGGGAGGCTCGCGGTCGGGGGAAGTGTTGGGCAGGGCAGGGGTGGGCAAGAGGTCTGCACCTGGGCCGGCAGAGTTTTTTTTGTTTCTCTGGCCGGGTTGGGGGTCTCTTTGCGTGGGTGAAGGCTCCGGAAAGGCTGTGTAAGGCTGGGCTGTGTAAGGCTGTGTAAGGCTGGGCTGTGTAAGGCTGGGCTAGGCTAGGCTGGGCTGTGTAAGGCTGGGCTAGGCTGGGCTGTGTAAGGCTGGGCTGGGTTGGGGTCTTGAAGGGCTGGGCTGAGCTTTTGAAGGCTGCGAAGGCTGTGTAAGGCTGGGCTAGGCTGGGCTGGGCTGGGCTGTGTAAGGCTGGGCTAGGCTGGGCTGTGTAAGGCTGGGCTGGGCTGGGCTGTGTAAGGCTGGGCTAGGCTAGGCTGGGCTGTGTAAGGCTGTGCTGGGTTGGGGTCTTGAAGGGCTGGGCTGAGCTTTTGAAGGCTGCGAAGGCTGTGTAAGGCTGGGCTAGGCTGGGCTGGGCTGTGTAAGGCTGGGCTAGGCTGGGCTGTGTAAGGCTGCGGCTTGGCTTGGGCGTCTTCCGGCAGCCAAAAAATATATATATTTGATTTCGGTTCCGGTCCGTGGTCTTTTTTTTTTCTCCGACTTTGCGCACTTATAAAGGGAGACAACCGGCTGCACGTTCGTCTCCCCCCCCCCTCCCCATCACTGGCCCCCCCCTGCTCCACCGCCTCCGCCGAATGGTCGACTTGGTGGAAAGTAACAAGTTGGTCGGAGAGTTGTCGGCCCGGAGACTTAAATTTTTCCCCTTCACTCCAAAAACAAAGCAAGCCCCCCCCCTCCCGGCATTGTGAAGGAAACACGGAGAGGAGGAGGAGGTTGGTGATGGTGGTGGTGGAGGTGTCGTGGACGTGGACATGGGACAGAACCCCAGAGGGGGGTGGGTGGGCGTGGAGGGGACCCCGCTCTGCTGACGCACGGTCGGCTCCGTACGGCGTCGCATTAATGTCTGCAACGTGCGAGTGAGCGAGCAGTAGAGACACCGAGACCACCACCGCGTGTGGCGTGCGAAGGGGCAGTCCCCGCTACTCGCAGCGTGTACGTGGACCGGACGTGTCGATGGTTAAAAAGCGGCGGCAGCAGCAGCAGCAGCTCTGAAAGCGAATGCAGAGAGAGGAGAGAGATGGCAGAGATGGGCGCGTGTGCGTCGCGTTCACGCGCCCGGTGTGTCGTGCGTGTTGGTGGCAGCCCCCCGCCCCCCACCCCCCCACACCGAGACAGTGATTTTGCGAAGGAGGAGGGGGGGGGTCGCCCCCCGCTCCTCTTTGCGGCCGGACGACTGAGTCCGATTTGAAAAAGATTCGAAAGAAACGAAAGCGAACGCGGCGGCGGCGGCAGCGGCGATGATGATGTTGCCCCACCGCCTTCTCCTCGCCGCGCGACCATCGCTCGCCCCGTCGCTCGCGATGGCGATTCCGGCGCCGGATTAACCTCGGCGCGACTTGAGAGAGAAGAGCGAGGGAGGAGAGGGGGCACGCGCACACACACAAGCGCACGCGACAGAGGGGGGGCATCGCGCAAACTGTGCCGGGGATTGGGGGGCTACCCACGTAACGCGACGTCCACATGGCCCAGCGTCTCCCATCTTTCTCCCCCCCGCCTCCCCGCCTGCCTTTCACGTAGTCTCCCTTTCCGTTCTCTTTTTGTTTTGCCTTGGCCACCTGCGTCTGTGTGTGGTGTGTGTGTGTGGTGTGTGGTGAGTGTGTGGTGTGTGTGTGGTGTGTGTGGTGTGTGTGGTCTGTGTGGTGTGTGGGTGTGTGTGGTGTATGTATGTATGTGTATGTGGTGTGGTGTGGTGTGTGTGGTGTGTGTGTGTGTCTGGTGTGTGTGGTGTGGTGTATGTGTGTCTGGTGTGTGTGCGTCTGGTGTGTGTGCGTCTGGTGTGTGTGATGTGAGTGTGGTGAGTGTGTGTGTGGTGTGTGTGTGTCTGGTGTGTGTGCGTCTGGTGTGTGTGATGTGTGTGTGTCTGGTGTGTGTGCGTCTGGTGTGTGTGATGTGTGTGTGTGTGTGGTGTGTCTGTGCTCAACGTTTGGCCACGTTTGCAACTCAAAGTCGCACCCTGGGAAGTCAACCGCACGGTGGCAAACGTTGCCTCTGCCTCCCCCAACCCCACCCACTTCACTGCCAAAACTCAGCAGATGCCCTCCTGGGCAGGAGAGTCGAGACTCGGGTTTTGGGCTTTTCCGGGGAGTTCAATAATCGCCGTGCGTCGATGACCAAGAGTGTCTCTCCGCTTGGGCGCTTTGAGGAGGACAG